TCATTAATGCAATCTGAAGCACCGCCCCTCTTCATTGAAAATGTCATCAATGTAATCTGAAGCACCGCAGTCACACAAACTGCCCTTCTTAACTAAAAATATCATTAATGCAATCTGAACACCGCAGTCACACACACCGCCCCTCTTCATTGAAAATATCATTCAATATTAATATTTAATATTCAATATTAATAATTAATGCAATCTGAAGCACCGCCCCTCTTCATTAACAATATCATTAATGCAATCTGAAGCCCAAACCGCCCCTCTTCATTAAAAATATCATTAATACAATCTGAAGCACTGCAGTCACACAAACCACCTTTCTTCACTGAAAATATCATTAATGCAATCTGAAGCACCGCCCCTCTTCATTGAAAATGTCATTAATGCAATCTGAAGCACCGCACTCACACACACCACCTTTCATTAAAAATATCATTAATGCAATCTGAAGCCCAAACCACCCCTCTTCATTGAAAATATCATTAATGCAATCTGAAGCACCGCCCCTCTTCACTGAAAATNAAGGGGAAAGGAAAGGGAAAAGGAAAGGGAAAAGGAAAGGGAAAAGGAAAGGGGAAAGGAAAGGGAAAAGGAAAGGGAAAAGGAAAGGGAAAGGACAAAACCAAGCCAAAACCAAGCCAAAACCAAGCCAAAACCAAGCCAAAACCAAGCCAAAACCAAGCCAAAACCAAGCCAAAACCAAGCCAAAACCAAAGCAGCACCCACAGTTTGTTAAGCACTTTGCCACAGCAGCTTTGGAGGAAACACTCCAAGAACAACCCCAAAAGAATCACTTGATTCAAAGGCAGCACAGCAAATCAGTTAATTTAAAATAACAGAAGCAGCTGCTACAGAATCCTAACCTGACATGGAAAAGAGAACCGCAGTTCATCAGAATTTTAAAAAATTTATAGAATTTTTAAAAGCCCAGTTCTTTCAGGAAATGGGTGAATTGAAGGAAGAACTTGGGAAAGCACACAGCAGTGGAGACAGTGAGACTTTTGGGAGACACTGAGAATTTACAGCACATCTGTCTTTGAAATGCTTTCTGCCTGATTATTAATAATTATGAATGACAATTTAAGCTGTAAAAATTAAATTTATGGGAGAAAAAAAAGAGGAATTTAAGAATTGTACCCAAGTGTCCAAGCACTGATATTTATAGAAAACCTTCCCAGCTTAACAAAATGCAGGAGGTGGAACAAAGACAGCACCAAGAGAGAGCAGAAATGGAACAAAAATATTCCCCAGCCCCAATTTATGCATTGCCAGGGTGCTGATCCCACCTCCAATCTGCAGCTCTGGACAGCCCATCCTCCTCAGCTGAGTGCTCACAGATTCCATCTCTTCCACCAGGGGCACCAGGATGGTGTCATTGATCCACTGCCAGGGAAAAGGAATGTTCAATAAACCCTCAGCTTCCACCCTGCAACATCCCCACCACAACCACGAGGCAAAGAAACACTGAAGCCAATCAAAGGGAGAAATAATTGAATTTAATTGTCAGTTTAAGTGATCCCTTAACAGCTTCTGAAAAGGCAGAAAATTCAATGTTTAGGAGTTGGGAAGTGGACAGTGAGGAAAGGGGATTGATGCAGCTCCTCTGCTGTTTGGCTCAGGACAGCAGGAGATGAATGTGAAGGATTTGAGTGTGACAGGACAGGACATTTCCCCCTTGGAACCCCTCAGAGAGGCACTTACATTCCTGAATTTCGCTGTCCAGGAATCCATGTGCTCCAGGAGCTGCCGGTTCATTGTCACCCGAGCCCAAACCTATGGAAAGGTTGATTAAATCCACAGGAGAACCTCACAGGGGTTTTAGGGTCTGTGACAATTCCTGCTGCTTGCAAAAGGAAGGAGCTGGCTGAATGAATGCTGCAGGACTGACCCAGCTCAAATCCAAACCTTGAAAATCCCATTTCTCCCTCTTGATTTCTTTTATTTTTGTGGAATTTACCTCTTCTGCAGCCTGTTTGGAGGTGAGATCAGCTTCATCCTTGTGTGCAGAAGGAGCCTGGGACCTGCAGGCCAGCTGATACTGGAACTTCCTCAGGATCTGTGCATGGTCTGCCATGGAACGGCTGTAGTTCCAAAACGTTGGGCTGCTGGAGGGAGAGCTGGAATCTGAGCTCCCTGGAAAGATTAATTCATTAAGGAATTAAATTCAATTATTGCCAATGATGCTGGAGAAACAGCACAGGACAACAGGTGAGTGTGAGTGAAAGCACTGCAGTCACTCTGCAGAAACCTGCATTTACCCTTATCTTGATTGTCCCTCCCTTATCTTGATTGACCCAGGACAAAAATGCACTGGATTTATCTGAAAACCCCTTATCTGAAACCACTTGGACAAAATCTCCCTCTTATCAGGGTGATCTTATCTCAGTCCATTACAGCCTCCAGCTGCTCCAGAGATAACCCAGCAGCATTCCCATGCTGAGATCCTGCTCCAAGGAATAACTGGAGGAAAACTGCCCCAAGGGGAACAATGGGGCTCTGCCTCACAGGGGATCCATAAATGAATGGAACCTTTTCACTGGTGCTTCTCCCATCCCAAAAACCAGCACTGGACAAAACCAACACCTCTTCCCTGCCAAGCTTCTCCCAGCAATCCCCCCCAGTTTACCCAGCTGAACTCGGTGCTGTTTCTCCTCCTCGTTCCTCAGGAAGGTGTCCAGGGATTTGACATCTGTGATGCAGTCATCTTTGTAGGTGGAATTGTTGTACAGGATGGGGGAGAATCGGTAGTGAGACCTGATCCCAGCGCTGTCCACAGGCCCCACTCCCATGGAATAGGGAGATCCGTTGGGAGAGTGGCTGAAGCTGGAAACCTCGGGAGACAACAACAAGAACAATGAGTTCATTTTCATTGCCCAGGCC